GAGGAGCTGCTACCAAGGGCTCAAGTAGAAAGCAAATGTTTTGAGAATGATGAGGGCAATAAATGTACAAATGTGCTTGACACAATGGATGGATGGATGCATGGATTGTGATAAGAGTTGTATGAGCCCCCAATAAAATGATTTAAAATAAAAAAATAATGATGGCAACATATTTACAAATGTGCAATTCATGGATGGATTGTTACAAGAGCCCTCAATAAAATGTTTAATAAAAAAAAACCATATTGTTTGATTTCTTTTTTGATCCATTTGAAACTTGTTCTAGGTTTTAATATTTTCTGAGCTATTTATTTGTTTTATTTCATTAGTGTTATTAGGTGTTTTTCTTAATGTTTTTCTGTATATGAAATCAAGGATAGGTAAATCTGTAGAGACAATAACTGGATTAATGATTTCTTGGGGGTAAGGCTGGAGAGGTTGGGGGAAAATGGGAAGCGAATAACGATGAGGATAAGAATAAAGACGCTCTAAAATTGAGTGTGGGGATGATTGTACAACTCTTCTTGATGTGATTGAGCTGTTGAATTGTACGATATGTGAATTACATGCCAATAAAACTGATTAGCAATTCAGCACACAAATGGGTGTTTGTAGCTCTTTTCTGAATACTTTACATACCCACGTGTGAAGATTTTGGAACGTGGTACTCATACGCATTGCCATCGAGTAGATCCCGACTCATTGCTTACCTATAGGACGAAGCCTCATCTTTCTCCTGAAGGGCGGCTGGCGGTTTGGAACGTGTGACCTCACAGTTAGCAGCACAAGGAGTAACCACTATGCCACCAGGGGTCCTTAAGTAGTGTAGTAGATAAGCACAATTTGCAAGTTGAAACTTGCCCTTTAAAAGACTATGACTTTAAAATTATCTTGTTCAGCTACTTGGGTCTGAGAGTGGCTGCCCAGAACGCAAGAGGGTGGTTCTCCTGGACAGGGAGTGACCAGACCGGTATGGACTTTCAGTTTCAACTACAGAAACTGGTGTGTGGGGGTGTGTGGGGGGGGGTGGGGGGCAGCGGGCACTGACGCGGGGAGGTGGGAAGGAAGTGTGCTGGGATAAAACGGACTTGGCAATGGAGTGTGGTCAGACCAGGCTCCAGAGGTAGGTTGTGTTTTCGGTTCAGAGGTCTCAGGACAGGCGGGCGGGGTCTCAGTGCACTGGGCAAGTAAACACTGCAGCAGGGACACAGAAATCGTCCCCAAGCCCAGAATAGGCGAAGCGGGAATACAACTGGGGCTCAAGGGGGTGTAATTAACATTCCTTCAAAGAAAAGGTGCACAGCTTTTCGTGTCTCTGCACAGAACTAAGCTGCGTCAGCTTCCCCCAAGCATCTATTACAGGGGGGAGGTGTAGTCCCTGCCCAGCAGAGCTGCACCCCTGCCGCTGATTGGCTGCGCGGTGTGGCCGGAAGGCTGCTCCCTGCTAGGAAGAGTCGGGTCCTCTAACTGTTGTTTTTCCTCTGCAGGCGCGATGGAGCTTGCCATCCTCCTTCTCAGGCTGGTTGTGGGCATCCTGGCATTCCCCGTGTACCTGCTGCACTTCCTGGGCCTCTGGAGCAGTATCTGCAAACAATTCTTTCCCCACTTCATGGTGAGGTTCACTGCGACCTACAACGAGCAGATGGCGAGCAAAAAGCAGGAGCTTTTCAGCAACCTGCTGGAGTTTGCGGGCACCTCTGGGAAGCTCTCCCTGCTGGAATTGGGCTGTGGCACCGGGGCCAACTTCAAGTTCTACCCATCCGGATGCAGGGTGACCTGTGTGGACCCCAATCCCAACTTTGAGAAGTTTTTGATCAAGAGCATCGCTGAGAACCGTCACCTGCAGTTCGAGCGCTTCGTAGTGGCTTCTGGGGAGGACATGCACCAGGTGGCAGATGGCTCTATGGATGTGGTCGTCTGCACCCTGGTGCTGTGCTCCGTGAAGGACCAGGAGCAGGTCCTCAAAGAGGTGCGCAGGGTGCTGAGGCCGGTAAGTGGCGGCGGGCGGGGCGGGATGCTCGCTGTGCGTATGTTCAGCACAATTTACAGAAAAGCAGAAGGGGAGGGAGTGGGACTCGAGAAGAAACGGTTGCTTTCAAAAGCCTTAAAAATAGAAATGGAAAGCTACTGTAGAGTAGAAGAGAAGTTATAAAGGGGGAAGGTTGATACATTTGAATTGCTAAACATTTTAACGCCTGTAAGAGAAAAAATTTAAAAAGTTCTATAAACAAAGTTTGTAAACACACATGGAAGAAATATTTGCCTGGAAGGATGCCCAAAGTCTGCCTTCCTTTTCAGAGAAGTGGCAGCTCGATGGGATCGACAGGAGGATGTACATCAGTAGGAACAGCAGAAAGGAAACTAGGCAAAGATACAGAACACGAATCTAAACGAAGGAGAACCAGTTATAGGAGAACAATGTTCAACCTCACGCACAAAGAACAAACTAAAGCAAGATGGCATTTTACCTGTTCACTGTCAGAGCATGTATTTTAGTGACAATATGGGGGATAGATGCCCCCATTCACATAGAACAAATACAGTAGTAAAATGCCTGCTACTTCTCTGGAGAGAAGTCTGATGTAAACATTAAAAGTGCACGCTTTCTTAGATTCAGAAATTCTCCCTCTAGGGCTTATCCTAAAAATATGCAACAAGTTATCCATATGAAAGATATTCATTACTGCAGTATTTGCTATCCCCAAAAGTGGAACTGTAAATTGTATCCACCAGCAGGGGCACGTTGTCACTTGATATTGTGCAGATGAAGAATACTGTGATTGTTCTAAAGATGGAGGAAGAGTGATACTCCTATATGCTATTAAGAAGGGAAAAATATTTGAGAGTATACAATAAAAGGGACTTTTCAAAATTATCTTTCTCTTATTTGAGCCTTGATTTTACTGTCCTTCCTGAAACAGAGCTGGTATGCTGTGCTGTTCAAAATGACAGCTTTTTCAACACCTCGCATAGGGATGGGATCTTAAAGAATAGTGTGTGTGTGTGTGTGTGTGTGTGTGTGTGTGTGTGGTTTGAGCAGTAATGAACATACAATCCATGCCATGCAGAACCTGGCCGGCAGACCTGGGGGAGGTATGAATGGGAGGGCGCTGTTAGCTTCCTGTTCAACAATTTCAGACAGTCTGCGATGACTCGATGTCGTGTGGAGGATGAGAAACAGCGATGGTGGAATGTACTACTGCTCGGCCAATGTTGACACGAGCTGGCTTTCTTACTGCCAGTCAGGCAATAAGAAACAACGGATAGATTCTTGGGATAAAATAATGTTATTTTGAGTTTAGAAAACACATGATGTGCCAACAGAGAGACTTGACAAGGCCCATATGCTAGGTAGTCAAATATATTTGGAATTCCACCACCAGAACTGTGAAAAAATTAAGTTCTGTTTCTTAAATTAAAAAAAAAATTCCAGGGCTTTGTTTCCCAAATATGTACATGCCAGTTGTACTTTAATATAATTAATTATTTGAATAGAATGTTATGTAAATTCATTCTATTTCAACATGAAAAGAAAAGATGGTTGGTCTTTAAAAACGAATGCTTTGAAACCCAAATCCAAGAGAGGGGATATGGTATCAGAGCTTAAATTGTGAACATCCGGTTTGCAGAAGGCTGCGGATGACAGTGAGTCGAATCCCTAAATCCATTTGCAGGGTCTCCACATGGATTAAAGGAGCCCTGGTGGCACAGTGGTCACAGATTGGTCTGGGGTCCCCAAGATTGGTTCAAAACCACCAGCCTGTCTCAGGAGAGAGACAGAGCTTTCGATTCCCATAAACAGTCCCAGAATCTGTCCTCTGGGGTCCTTATGAGTTGGCACGGACTTGGTAGCCGTGAGTTTGGTTTTGAGTTTACTTGGATTAAGCCGCCCGCGAATCCCCTCTGTCGAGGGATATGAATAGCCTTGCTATACATTGAGCATTGTAAACTCAATTATGGCAGATGTAGTTAGATTAAAATGTAATACCTTATCCCTTAATCTCCCTTTTGACCCATTTTAATTTTGTTCTAGCTTTTAGCATTTCCTGCTTTCTTTTATAATGAGATTTTTCTCTGGTTTGTTATTTTTATTTTCGGCTGTTTTTTTTTTTTTTTTTGCTATGTTTTCCTGTATTTTAAATCCAGGATTGGTAAATCTGTAGCAACAGTAATAGGATTAATGGTTTATTGAGGCATGGCAGGGGAGGTTGGAGGGAAATGTGGAATAACAATGAGTACAAGCAGGAAGAAAATGTTCTAGAACTGATTGTAGCAATAATTGTACCACTCTACTGACTGTTGCTGAACTACTGAAGCGTATGATAAATAAATTATATGTCAATAGAGCAATTTTTTTAAGAAAAGGGAATGCATGAGGCTATATAACAAGCTTCCCTCCACCCCTGCCCCCGTGTAACAGAAAGTGAGCAGAATAATTAGAATGAGTAAAAGGCAAAATAAGAACACCTGGCTGGAGTTTAATTTCAGGATCAGCGGCTCATCTAGCTGATTTCATTCGGTGATTTAATCCTGTGGTTTGTCATTGATCCCGAGATGCAGGTTGGAATAAGGAAAAGAGGAGACACCTACGTACATCTCACACGATGGTCCCAAAGCGCTTGCATCTTGTCCATGGTTGCACGTGCGTGCTCACTTGTGAAATCCTTTAGGACTTCTGTTTACACGTTAGGAGCCCTGGTGGCATCGTGGGGACCGAGTTGGGCAGCTCCCCACCAGGACAGCAGTTTGAACCCCACCAGTGGGTCCTCTGGAGGAAGATGGGCCATCTCCTCTGGTCGTGGTCTACAGCCTCAGCGGCCCTCGGGGGCAGCTCTGCTCCGTCTTACAAGGAGCCCCTCGTCAGAGCTGGCAAGGTGGCAGTTGGTTTGGGTTCCCAGGTTGAAGGTATGGTCATTTTAAAACTTGCCTTCAAGAAGAAAAGCACTGGGGGAAAATGTTAAATGAGGAAAGGCATCCAAGGTGCAGAATGTGATGGGGAGTGTGATCCTGTATGCGTGGGAAGCAAAGGGTCTCCATGGATCGATACTCATTACTGATTCCAACACCCACTGATAGGATAAAATATCGAATGCCAAAATGTCGCCATGCATTCCATAGTGCTTTGAGATGAATTTGCATCTTCATTAATTATAGCTTTTAGATAAAAAAAACAGGTTTTTAAAATACGAGAATGATAGGCAAACTATTAACCTGGTTCCCTCTTGGGACTGAGACTGGATGTCTACAAAGAAAGGAATTTTATATTTTTTGTATAGTTTGAAATTTATTAATTTTCACACACTCTTTTATTGCATATATTTTTAAAAACTTGCTTTAAATAGTTTTATTCTGTAACACATTTAGTTCTTCACAGTTAGGTTCTTTATTCCTGGAGCAACAGAAAGAGAAGAGTCAGCAAGAACCAAAGGCCATGGGTCCCATGTGGCACAGTGGGTTATGCTTTGGGCTGCTAACTGCAAGGCCAGCAGTTCAAAACCACCAGGTGCTCCACGGATGATGACGTGGTCTCCTCTAAAGAACATTTTCAGTCTGGGAAGCCCAGAGAGGCAGGTCTGCTCTGTCTTGTAGGGTTGCTGTGCATCGGAATCACCTTGATGGCCAGACATTTGGATATTTGAGCTAATGTGAGGGGCCCTGGTAGTGTAGTGGTTATGTGTTGGGCTGCTAACTGTAAGGTCAGTAGTTCTAAACCACCAGCTGCTCTGAGGGGGAAAGATAGGGCTTTCAGTCACAGTCTTGGGCATTCACAGGGGGCAGGTCTGCCTGCCTTATAGGGCATAATGGTACGGAAGGGTCCCTCTGAGCCGGCACCAACTTGATGGCAGTGAGGGGTTTTTGGTGTGTGTGGCTAATGGCACAATGTGTTGCCTCCCATTATAACAACTGTTTTTTTGCTCTAAGACCAGACAAACTGGATGATGGTGCCCGGCTACCATGCCCGAATCTTTTTTGAATTAATCATTTATTGGGGGGCTCTTATGAGTCTTATGACAATCCATCATTCAGCTGTATGAAGCACACTTGTACATATGTTGTCATCAACATTTCAAAACATTTTCTTTCTACTTGAGTCCTTAGTATCAGCTCTTCTTCCTTCCCCTCTCCTCCTGAATCCTTGATCAAATTGTATATTATTGTTGTTATTTCAGGTCTTACCCTGTACGTTGTCTCCCTTCACCCACATTTCTGTTATTCGTCCCCCTGGGGGGTGGCTATATGTCCAACCTTGTGATGGATTCCCCTTTCTTCCCCCTCCCCCTGCCTCCACTATCCCCTACCCTCATGATATCATTACTCTCACTACTGTTTCTGAGGGGTTTATCTGTCCTGAATTGCATGTGTTCAGAGCTCTTATCTGTACCAATGTGTGTACTCCACTCTAGGCAGATTTCTAAGGTAGAGTTGGGTCATGGTAGTGGGGGTGGGGGGAACATTCAGGAGCTAGAGGAACGATGTGTTTCATCTGTGCTATACTGCACCCTGGTTGGTTGAATTGTCCCTTCCTTGTAATCCTTCTGTGGGGGGATATCCAATTGTCTACAGATGGGCTTTGGGTCACCACTCCAACCCTCCTCATTCACATTGATATAGTTGTTTGTTTTGGATCTTTTGATTCATGATACCTGATCCCGTCGACACCTCATGATCACACAGGATGGTGTGCTTCTTCCATGTGGGCTTATTTGCTTCCCTGCTAGATAACTGCTTGTTTAACTTCAAGCCTTTAAGACCCCAGACACTATATCTTTTGATAGCCAGGTACCACCCACTTTCTTCACCACATTTGCTTATGTACCCATTTTGTCTTTAGCGATGGTGTCAGGAAGGTGAGTGTCAAAGAGTGCCAGGTTATTAGAACAAAGTCTTCTTGTGTTTAGGGAAGCCTTGAGTAGAGCCCCAAAGTCTGTGTGCTATCTTAACACTTAATATATAAATATATGTACATCAGCCTTGATCCCTTTCATTATA